TGTTAAGAGAAAACAAAGTGCTCATCTACTTCAACCAGAGTGCACTTTCCAAAAAGCAAAAGCAAGCTTTAGAGATAGTGCTCTGAGTCTTAACTTGGGATTTTTCTATAATTCCTTGTTAAAAAAGTAAACAGAAAGCTTTTATAAATATCTCTGTAGTTCCCTCAGTTTGTCACACTAGTCACAAGTGTCTACAAATTACCAAATATTTTAAGGTATGGCCACAATAGGCCGTCACAGAATAAAGGTGGTTCCTGGCTACCCCTCCCCTCCCTGAGAGCAGTACTCACTCAGCACACAGGTCTCAAGGCTTTTGTAGTGCTTGAGAACAAGTAACTCTGAGCTCCCTTGGTTCACTTCCTTAGATGGTTGCTACTTGATACACAAGTCAATTTTGATCCTGTTAGAGTAATAATAAAATCATTCCCTATCATCTTAGTCTCCAGCTGGAGAAGAGCACCAGTGTAAAGAAGATATCTGTCTTTATAAACAAGGTTTGTAAAAACAGATTGGGAAATTACTTGTGGGTTTGCTAGGAAAGTCTTGTGATTCAGGGTAGGGGAAAACAGCCAAGGCCTCTGAAACAGCTCCTATGTAGAGATGTAACTATAGTACACTGCTGACACAAAAACAGCTTCTCAGGAAGCACTTCACCTTTACTAGCCTAAAGTATTGGCCATTTTTAAATATAAATAGATCCCCTCTTCCTCTCACTAAAATCTTCAAATCAGACACGTCACTGATTTGAATTCAATTCTAAACTTTGAGTATCTCCAGTTACTCGTCAGCTTACTAAAAACATTGTTTGCTTCTATTTGACAACTAGCAAAAGTGTCTTTTCTGTACACACCTTGCAAAATTTCTAAAGTTTTATCAAAGCTCTTTTTTCCATGGACCAAAATTATTTAAGATCTGCTGTCCTTGTAATCAGTGTGCTTCACTCTTTTGTATTTACTCTTGCTTGGGGAAGCAAGCCAAAATATTCACCTAACTACCCTAAGGTTTAGGCAGTTATAATCCTTACCAAGCCATGCTTGTGAGTATCTGATTATTTTTAGCCTCACATTGAAGAAGCAATCTTGTTTGCTCATGAAAAAAAAGTATGCTTTAAGTTGGCCATCATGTTAAAGAAGCAATCTTGTTTGCTCACCATGAAAAAAAAGTATGCTTTAAGTTGGCAATAAGTTGACAACTTGTCCCTTTTTAGCATACCCTGAAGTCAACATTTGCTAAAACCACCTCATAGGACAAATAGGTCAATTGTTGATTTTGTGCTTTTTCAAGATATAGCTCTGTGTTCATTTCTACTGAGAAGCACACAACTTGGACACACCAAAGACTACAGACTCCCAGGAATTGTCTCCTTCCAAGCAGCAGCCAAAATGTGCACGTGAGGAAAAATAAAACAAACCAGATACGAATGTAAGGTGTTGTTAAAGGACACAAAGGAAATTTCTTATTCACACTGAGCAGGAATAAGAGAAACAAATACATTGAGCTAAAATGTCACTCCCATTTTTACTAAAGACTTGCAAATTCATGATCAGCATCAAAATGGGCCTAGCATTCCATCATCACTATTTATACAGGAGTCCAAGGACGTTTATAGTGGTGAATTTTCACTGCAAAGGCAACTCATTCTGGCTCTTTTTCAGTCTTGAAGTTCTGGATCACTAGCACACATGAGCAGCTGTAATTTACAGCACTTGTTGATGCCTCCCAAAGAAGCATGTGGCTGGGCAATATATAAGCTTTCACTAAATTAATATTACAGGAACTTTCTGTTCTCAAACTCAGTCTTTGGAGAAATCTGTATGCTCAACAATTTTGGTGCTCAGTCACATAAAATTGCTCTTTCAAGTGACAAAAAACCCAGACAATAATGTGTCTGAAAAAAAATTAGTAGCTCTGAGTAGCTTGATCTAGTTGGAGATCCCCGTTTATAGCAGGGGGGTTGGACTACACAACCTTTGGAGGTCTCTTCCAACCCAAACATTCTATGAAAAAAAAATAGCAGTAGCTAAACACAATGTATGGGTAGTAACTTCCTGCAATGATTTGGCAGCCCAGTTTATCCCATCCAAATACCAAGTACTGCATTAATACACAAAGGCAATAACTTGCTTTATTTTCAGGCACAAACCTCTAGGATCTCATCACTAAAAAATCAGCAGCCTGGTATGACTAAGCACTGAAAATGTCACAAAACTACGTACTTGCACAGATACTAAATACCAATGTGACACAGCTACCATTGTTGTGAAACAACACAGAAAAGATTTAAGATGGATTTCGAATGGCCACTGCACTTGTTTTCAAGTAAGACTGAATATCAAAGGGCAAGGCAGAAACTGCAGCAATGAGTTTGCATTTTTATGCTGCCTCTCAGGCATGGTTGTATATTATTTTGTCAGCAGCAGAAGGAATTACTAGTTGCACTCTCCCTTTTAATCTACTGCCACCCTCATCACCCTGACTCACTGTTCACCCCCAGAGTCTTGCAGTGGATTACTTGCTGCCACACAACACTAAGAATACACTTATTTTAAAGGGCCAAGAAAGGAGCAAGGATCTAACACTTCAACATTCAGTGAACAGTCATGGAAGCACCTGAAGAGGCTTAATCATGGAAACCATAATTTCTGGCAATAAAGTAGAAACAAAATGCTGATATGTGCAACTTCTCACTGCACCTGTTTTGATAGAATAATAAAGTTTAACTACAGCCTTAACCTTTAAAGAGCCTCATACACCTTAACATCTGAAGAGGCTCAATCATGGAAACCATAATTTCTGGAAATAAAGTAGAAACAAAATAAAATGTGCAACTTCTCACTGCACCTGCTTTGATAGAATAATAAAGTTTAACTACAGCCTTAACCTTTAAAGAGCCTCATACACCTTAACATCTACTAAAAGATGATACTACTTATTTCTAAGTACAGTTTCCCTCCTCAACAGTAAAGCTTAATATCAGCCAGTTTCACACAGGTATCTTAGGTTCTTAAAACCACTTGAACACCACCTGTGACTTCAGGAGTAGGAGGATAAGCAGCTGAGCTAGGTTTCAGCTTATTCAACTATACTATCAGGAATAAAAATTCCAAGTTTCACAGACAACTACTGGCACCTAGCCTGCATGGACATAAGAGCCCTGGAAAACTGAGTAAGGAATAGCTCTCTAAAGAGCTAAATTATGCCTACTGAGGCAGGGCAGAAAGTGGCCAAGCAAGACTGCGCTGACAGTCCTGTTCCTAGTCTACTGAGTAATGTTCAGCATAAACCATTATTACTTTGACTTCATTAGCCTAAGGATAATGGGTGCTGCTTTGAAATCTATACCCTTGGACATATTTAATTGTTTATGCAACCCTCAAACTCCTAGCTAAACCATTCTTGGAGATGGTTCATGCAGAATGTATTCATGTCCATTTCAAGGGCTGGTCTTTTGTGAACCGATGAGAAAATAAATGGAGATATTATTATGTATTATGTAGAGTGACATGTAAGAGAATACTTCAAAGTTTCTTTGAAATAAAATATTTTAAATGTTACTGCCCAGAGTCCAGAATTACCACATAATTATCTGTGGTAGAATCATTAAGTAGAAACAGTGGCTTGACAGTACAATGCGAGGAGGGATAACTGCAATCTTACCTTCTTGGAGAAAACCAGGAAATTTGCAAGTCTAATAATCTCCCTTTTAAAAAAAAAAATCTATCAATAACTTCTCAACAACATAACTGGACAAATGTGGTTTTTTGTGGGTTTTGTTAATATTTTTCTGGAAAAAATCCCAAATGATAAACAAAGTACAAACTCTGCTCCAAATAAGTGAATAGGTTAGTGTTGATACATCCTTTGTGTGGAAAGGTAAAGTGCCATTAAAGTCCCCCTGAAATGATTGTATCCACATTTCAATAGAGAACTCATGCTAGTCATGGACTTCTCTAGATGGTTTGTTGTCAGGATACACTTATTTTAATTACTCTCCTAAAGACTGTGGAACTCAGCCAGAGGACAAAAAAACATTCAGTAAACAAATTACTTGATTAAGGATATGAAGGTTTTCAATAGCTCAATCTCTATCCTTCTTTGAAAACCATCCCATTTTCTTCTATTTCACCTTCTCTCTCCTCTGTAGGACACTATCATTTTTCAATGAGCCTCCACTATTGGCTTTTCCTTGCTCACAATTAAGTGTCAGAAGTTTTCCCTGGCTCAGATTACTCTGGATTTACCATCAGCTTTTATGGACGAATGGATCGGATCAGCCATGAACATTTTAAAAGAAACACTTAAAACTTCCTAAAAATATAATTCATTTTTTTTAAAAGGTGAAATAACTACTAATTAGATGATAAAGACAAAGGTGTTAAATATTCCTACTCATAGCAAGTAGATGAAGTATACATTTTCCTTGCAATTTTCTTTAACACACACTACAGAAACTCCATGCTACAAGTCTGAGATTATTTCATGTTATATACTTGAGGTTTCAGTACTTTAGAACCTGCATTAAACCTTCAGATTCCTCCTGGTATTGTGGGATGCTGGAGCACTCCTAACTCTCCTGTTTTGAACAGCTACCACATTTAGATAACCTATACTCAGTGTATCTATATTCACATATATACTCTCATTAAGAACATATTTGTTCTGCATGATCATTAGGGGAAGAAATAAAAAAAAACACCACACAAAACTGTATTATATCAAATCAATTATTGATTCCCAGTCACAAATACATTCTCCTAAGTTTTTTTTTTTCCTCCCCCTCCCTCAGAGTACAAGAGCACTCAAAGACTCCAAGCAGAAGCAATGCAAAATTACACACTACAATATACTGTAACACAAAATTATCTTTATTACAAAATCATACAAAGTATGAACATAAATATACAATTATACTTAAGTAAACCCTGCTCTTGAAGTATTTGAATACTCAAGCAATGACACGGCCACCAGAAAACTCCTTTATTGTTTCTCATTCAGAAGGTTTATCTTATGGAGCGATACATCATGAAGTCAATTGTTGTACATCTGGGGAACTTCCCGATGGAGCTCTCTTCCACTGGGGTGTACACTTTGATCTGCCTCATGTGAGTGTCTCTTCCATTTTGGTGATTAGCTAGAACAGCAATCTGAATCATGAACGTGCGAATAGGCTTCTTAAGGGTATCTGTTAAAGGAACATGAATCCAGCCACTTGGTTCCACTAATTCAAGCTGCTGCCGAAAACAAGACAAAAAAAAGCAAAATATTCAGAAACAGTTAAAATACTTAATATACAGGTTTAATATGTGACCATTCTATTGAGCAGAGTCTTGCAAATCAGTTTTTAGCTACTTTTTCAACTGAACTTGACATACTGCAGTTGAAAACTCAGAGCTAATTTACTGCTGGTGTAATTGAATACAAAGTAGTTTGTTTGTCTACAGTTGTGTTTGCTTTTGTCTTTCAGAATATACCCTTCATTTTGTGCCTTAACCTTAAAATAATATAAAAATATTTCATATATAAATTCAAGAAAGTTAAAGCAGAACTATTTGGATCTTGGCCAATCAGTTGATGTACAGCAATTAGTCACATTAAGACCCATTTTTAACTTGACTTTTATACAACAAACCAAGGGTGGGATGATTTTTTTCTCTTTTTTTTAATTTTAATCCTACAGAAACCAATGTCAAAGCAAAGAATTGGGTTTCATTAACTCTAAACCACATCACTGACACATCAGCATGCTGAAATCAAGTGAGATGCTATGCAGAAGTGTGGTAACAGCTTTTGTTTAAAGCTAGCTGCCCCACTTCAAAGCACAGCTCAAAACATATACAGAAGAGCACACAAGCAAGCGGAAGTCTAGGGGGTAAAAAAAATCCCAAGCTCCAAAACAGTTGTCCACAAGCAAGTGGATTTCACACAGCTAAGCAAATAAGCCTGCTGCTCTTAGCAGGAGAGTTCCTCTAAGGAAGATCTATGCTTTAAGCAGCTCAAAATTCCCATCTTTCTCCTGAAAATACCACATGACAAACATCCTGTCAAATGCCTTGTCTTTGCTGAAGTTTTCAAAAGACCCATCTGAGATCTGCTGTTTCAGAGGCAGCAAATGTCCTGAGGGAATGACCCAAGAAACGAGTTTAATAAAATGTCTCACGACTACTGTAAGTTTAAATACACAAAACAACCTCTCAACCTCCACCTTAGAAAAAGCAAGAAAAAAAAGAGAGCCCCAAACCTCTCCACTGCTGCAGGCTCTCCAACAAATAATTTCCACAGCACTGAATTCACTCAACCTTAGCAGCAAATCTTCTCATTCTGGGAGCCAGACATTTCCACAAACACATTCACTTATTTGTTGTAGTCTTGCTCCTTTTCAAAAAACATACAAAACCTTTTTTTTTGCATATGAAACCTCAGGTAATGGCTGGCTTTACAAAACCATGAAAGTGAGGTAGTGTTGAAGCAGCTTTACAAAGGGGAAGTTCATCATGATGAGACAGCAGTCAATGGTTTGAGCAGGTATGCTTTCCATGTCCACAGTGATCCCAGTAACATTTCAACCAGCTAGTGCTGTGGCAAAGTGGCTATGAATTAGAAGGTAATTCAAAGGCTATTGATAATTAAACTTGGATTTTAATATTATTCTCACAACTTACAAATTTCGACTGCTGATTCAAAGTGGAAAATTTAAGTGATGTCCTATGATATCAGGATTTTCATGCTTGGATCAGTATGAAATGGATTGGTTAATACAGTAAAAAAAAAACAAACTACTTTTTATAGGTTGAAATCATTGGTTTCAGACAGATCAAATGTAGTTTAGGTTTGCATGCTTTATTGGGAAAGAAATTGTGAAGAGTGAAATAATTAAACTATTTGCACAAAAGGATTATTAAATTATTAAATTCAGAGAAAAATCACGTTTTATTTTAAGAAAATTATTAGGGCCATAAAGGTAAGCACTGGGAACTTAAGAGTTGCAAAGATAATTTTATTAATAATATACTTGTAACTTATTCCATAGATTAACTTTTGATTATGTATTTGTCAATGCTTTGTCTCATCCCTGATCAGTGGGAGGGGGTTGGGCTCAAGCTCAAAATAGGCCCTTTCCCCACACCAATCAAATAGTTGCCTCTTGGACAAAGCAGATGACATTTGTGATGGAGCTGGAGGCTGTACTAGAATCTATTTAGTGAAAGAGGTCTGAGTTAGACTTAAATGTTTGAAAAACTGAGCTCTGGATTTTTGTCCTCTAAATAATGTTCCTGTACTGTGATGGTTTTAAGCCTAACTTTAAAAAAAAATAAAAATTGATGCCTACATAGTTCAGCCAAATGATTAAACCCTTGAGACCCATTCAACTCCCAAAGCTTAAATTCAACAAAACATAAAAATTATCATCTGAAAATCCACTAGAAAAGGAAGCAATATCTTGCCAGTACAATACACACATTTTCTGTGGCCAAAGGAATGGCACAAACCAGACACATACACACACGCTCCTAAATTCCTCTCCTCCACATCTGTTGTGCTCTTCAGATGAGCGAGACAGCTTCTTCCCAGAGGGCCCAGGTCCTTCACCAGGGAGAAGGAACAGGACATGGGAATGTGTGGTGGTGGTACAAGAGAAAATGCTGCCCACTCTTAGCTCAATGTCAGCACCCAAACCCAGCTGTTACAAACCCTAGCAGAAGTGGGATGAAATATGCAGCTCCACTCTGCCTGGAGCATTCCCAGTGTGAACAGAATCTAAAGGAAACTTACTGTGAAGTTTTAAGAAATTCCTATTAAGCCCATGCAAATGGCAATCTTTCAAAGCCTTGTAAACTGGTCTGGAAATTTGGGTGGATTTTTACAGGGAGGCAAAAGGCACGTCCTCAACACAAAGGCTGAACTATTGCCAAATTTCAAATCCTTGCTTCAGAGCTTGGGGGCACTGGAGCATCAAAGGAGGACACCAGAATATTCTCACACCAGCAAAACAGCTTACTTTTCACTAGCCTGATTCTTGGAACAGAACTGCTTTGGCTGAAACTTTCAAAAAAAAAAAAAAATTGACCCAAAGCAGGCATCTGGCATGGAAAAATCTGTCTGAACTGAACGTTGGCAGGAGTTATAAAGGAACTAAGAGTTAAGCCTCAAAATGGAAAGGGTCATGCAACCTGAAGTACAGGTGGCACAGGCAGCTTACCTGTAAGTAAATACTATACTTCAAACCCATTTCGGTTTTCTTCAGAAGCACCAGCCACTGCACATACACACCTAGACAGAGCTTTCACCCCAACTCTACAGTATAAATCCACTATGAGAACACAGATTAAGTTTCCTCCTGTATTTTTTTTTTTCTCCTATATAGGTCATTAAGAATCAATCACCATTTACTGGCTTCCAGAAAAGTTTTAAAAATCAGCTATGTTATTAATTACCTGAGTGAAATTAAAAATTGGAAGTTTTTCTGCTATGTGTTTTACCAGAAAAGGTTTTAAAAAGTAGATACAAAGGAATGAACCAATGCACGTTCAATATTAGTAACTCAGGACAGTTCCTGCAACTCTATACTCATCTTATATACAACGCTAAAATCCTTGAATATTTTATTCCAATTTTTCAAAATTTTCTTCCAATACTATCAATTTTGGTAACTGTTAAACAAGAGCAGCATGAAAGTCAAAATAAAAGAAAAATGGGATAAAAATTGAAATGGAAAAATTACTCACTTGTCCTTTGCTGCTGTTACACACTCTCATCTATCTCTTCTCCTGCTTCCTCTCCATTGCTGTCTTATTCTTCCTGTCCTCTGCGTGCTACAGCTTTACCTATGGACATATGCTCCCACTTCACTAATCCATGTTGTTTTGAAAGCCAAAGCAGAAATATTCTTCATGGAAATTTCCTCTAAAGCCAATTTAATAGCCCTGTTTCTTCACTTTATCAAACAGTCCACAGGTTCTACACAACTCCATGTATATTTGGCAAGGCTGCTATTGCAACTAAGAGGTGTCCCACCACAGAAGATGCAAAACACAAAATTTTTTTTTTTTTTTTTAAATCAACTTGAGGCTGCACTTCAGAGAGATGTCTGAGCACAAAACCAAGGCTTTTAGAGGAAGCTTGTTCTGCACTGGTGTGGCTGGCCTCTTTTACCCAAAGAAGGCTTTTCTATTACACTTAATCCAACAAATTGAGTATTGACTTCTTTTCTATACTCAGTGATATTCTGCTTAACCCCCGTGGTGTCTTCAAAGGGGCATGTAACTCATACTGTGTCCTGGTTTGAGTTAGAACACAACTCACTCTCTTCAGTGGCTGGCATCCAAGGAGGACTGTGTCCATTCTTCTGCCTTTGATCTTAATCTGGGCAATCCTGAATCTGGTTCTAGAATCCAGCTCCTGTCTGCCACTGAGTCCAGACTGGGACTTCCCCAGCCCCTGCTCCACAGTGTCAGTGGTGATGCAATTCCCATTAGGGAGAGAGCTGGGTTCAATATTGATTTTGTACATAAGTGTCTATACTTCATTTTATTTTAATTATTTTCATTAAATCTGGTTTAGTTTTCCAATCCATAAGTCACTCTCCCTCATTGCTTTTCTCTTCTCCTTTGGGAAGAGAGAGGGGTTAATAGAGAGCATCTGTCATCTGCCTAGTGACCTGTCCAACTAATCCTTGACAAACTGCTACTTCTACTAGTCCTATAAACCCAACCCAAGCTGTTTTCTGTATTTACAATAGGCTAACATCCTTGAAACAACACTTTTTTTTGCCCTATGAAGTATCTTTTGTGAAGACAGAGAAAGGAAAGCAAACCCTACACTGTAAGTAGTCTCATATTCAGGACAATTTCAGACACATCCCAGAACATATGCTAGACAGGTCCCCCAGATTTCAGGGAAATAACTTTTTCTGTGCATATATAGGGAGGAAAGTAATCTGTTTTCTTTCCCTGGAGGGAAAAAAAAAGGCCTCTTCTGCACATGGATGCTGCACCAGCATGATACAATATGATTCTGAGCTGTTGGTACTTCACCACATTCCCATTTAATCATCTGTACTACTAGATCCAAATGGCAGCACCTAATTCTAGTGACTGCCTTGAAAACAGGCTGTGAAACTCAAGCAACATTTGATTTTACTTCTATTTTTCTCATAAAACTGTTCAAGCTGCTTCTATTTATTGTAGTGACTAAGCCACCTTTGAAATGAAAACTAGTGACTAGACTTCTTCAC